GGTGGGGCGGGCCTTCTCCAGGTTGTATGCCAGACGCAGGGTGCGGCGGGCAGGCGAAAGAGCAGGGGCGGTCTTCCTTCTCCCTCCTTCTCGTAGTCCCCCCTCCTCTTTCGTCGTCGTCGTCCTCCTCCTCCTCATTTCCTCCTCCTCCTTCCTCCTCCTTCTCCCCGTCACCAGCCTCCTCCATTCTCGGAGTTGTCGTCCACCCGACTCGCTCTCTCTATCTCTCTCTTCTTCAGGGCAATGGAGTAGAAGGAGCAAGACGAGGAGGAGGTGAGACGATGAGGAGAGGAAGACATGAGAGTGCGACTGATGAGAAGGAGGAGTGGCACGACGTTTACCTCCGCCTCTGGAGAACCCATTGCAAGAGTCTGGCTGTACGACTCTCGAAGCAGCGTTCGCAAGAGTCTGCTCGAGGGCAGCTCTCGAAAGATGCTCAAACGCATCAGGTCAGAACACACTGTAACATAAACTCGCACCGCGCACCACTGTCTGCAGATATCGGTGTATATGTATCGGTACATGTATATATATATATATATGTGTGCACCAATGTCAGTATCACGTGTGTACTCATCATGGCGCACAGGCTTCGCAAATAGAAACGCACGGCGAGACCACCGAACAACTTACCAGCAGTGCGAAGGGCGATGCAACACACGAAAACGAATACTCCAGAGGCTAGGTATACAGAAAGCGCTTATGCATGCCCAGGGAGCAGTGGCACTTAGCCCTACGACCTGGACTTCTTGGGTTCCTTGGATGCGCCACTCGAGCTTGGCCGCTTGGCCTTTCCGTCCGAGGGCTGCGAGCTGCCATATTCCAAAGCAGATGGGCGAACTAACTTGTCGCCAACTTTCAGCTGCTTTGTGTTGTAAAAGCAAGGAACTGAAACCGTCGTCGGGCCGCTGCTTTTGCCGTGACCCTTACCGTCACGCTGGCTAAGCTCAATGGCAAATTTGCTGAATGCAAGGTTAGGCTGTTCACCGCTGGTAATGCAAAAAAAAGGCGGCACGAAATGCTGGCTGTTACTATCGCTCGTGGGGAGCTCGACTTTCGGAGTGATATAGCAGCGCTGACCAGCTGGCTTACCGACGAGATCAGGCACAGGAATTGCAACAGTTGGCAGTTTCGCCCCTGTCATCACTTTAGAAGCCAACGGCACAAGGATCAACGCACCTTTCTCATAATTCTTTGCGACGTGCACAGACTGTACTGAAGGCCTGGGGGTCCTCGCATACAACACGCGGACACTAACATATTTCTCAAGCAAAGAGTAGGCGGCATGAAGGCCCTCAATGAACTGCGCCTGGCTGTGGGCAAAGACGATATCGGCATGATCCTGCGGGGATGCGAACAACCGAAAGAGGCGACATGAAGAAACAATGAACCGCGAGGGAGCGGCAACTTGCTCAAGATGGGCGCATCAAACTACAGACACAGTCAAGTCTCCGTCACGCGTCCTCCTCCTCTTCCTCTTCCTCCTCTTCCTGACATTCCCCCCCATCAGCCCTTCCTCATCTTCATCCTTCTCCTTCCTGTCCTGCCCCTCTTCCCTCCTCTCCCTCCTCCTCCTCCTCCTGCTCCTGCCCCCCCTCTCCTTTTTTTGTCCTATGCTCCTTCTCCTCCTCCTCATGCTCCTCCTCCCCCCACTGTTACACTCATCATCCTCATCCTCCTCCCCTCCTCCTCCTTATCCTCCGCCTTCTCTCTCGCTCCCCTCCCCCCCAAGCAAGAGCGCGGTCCAGACAGGACGACATCCCCTGTTTCACCTCGAGCTCGTAGGTCCTGTTCATCTCCACAACCTGGGCAGGAGGGGGGCAGGAGGAAGATGAAGATGAGAAGGCGGAGGAGGAGGAGGAGGAGGAGGATAAGGAGGAGGAGGGGGAGGAGGAGCAGGAGGAGGAGGATGGTAAAGGGAACTGAGGAGTACTTTGTTTTGCAATCCGTGCAACCTTGAAGTTCTCGACCAGGTCGTTCGTGCTGATGTCCAGCAGCTTGATACTCTCGTCGTCCACGTCCTTGTTCCTCTTGAACACGTCGAACAGCTTGACCTTCGAGCCTTCGATGGAGTGCACCTCATAGAGCACGCCCTTGCGGAAGCCCTCCATGGCATGTTTAAGCTCCACACTCGCGCCATCAGTGAAACCCAAGCCTTCCACGACAGACTTCTCCAGGACGCCGCTCCCGCTGTCCGAATACTCACGCATCTTGCTCGATGGGGCCGCTGAAGTTGAGGCTGCCTCCTTGAGTGCCCATGGGAGGTCCGTATCTTTTGCCGAGGGGTACGCTGCGATAACCTCATTCAAAAATTCCTGGGCAATGTCGCCAATGGTATTGAACCAACGCCTAGCCCGTGCCTTCTTGTTGTGGATGAACATAACACACCGTACTTCCAGATTGCCCAACAAAGTAGTCTTGTCCGAGTTCGACAAAGTTGACGTCGCCAGGGGTCCATGCATCCAGGCTTTTGCATAGCGCCAATATTGAACAGCTTCCATGACACTCGGCTTCAATTTATCCTCGCATTTTGCCAGCTCGCTGGAAGTAATCAGATTAGCAACGCTACCCTTCGAAAAATTATCGGGTGCTGTCATGCACGCTTTCAGTACGGCATTCGGATATTCTGGATATGCTGGCAAGTTGAGATTCGCCAAGATCTTGAACGTAACATTGGACACGTCACGCCTGTATGATAAAGTCTTGCTGAAATCACTGAGTTCTTTCAGAAAGATCGGGTTGCTACCCCCGCCCCACTTCTCGATGTAATTGCACATGTCCATCACGTGCCCCTTCACTGCAGGCGTCGTGCCCTCGATCGCCTTGACGACGCCCTCCTTGTTGTAATCCTGACGTGCCGCAAAGAACTGCATCATCTTGGCGTGGCAGCGGAGCAAGATCTGAGTCTTCGTCTCGACGCGGTGGGATCCATGGGTTTGGTTGCCCGCTGCTTGTAAGAAGTCTGGAAGTCGTGGAACGGCATCCTCAACTTGCCACCGAATGACCAGCCATCTCAGGCCGCTCTCCATGGCGGCGCCATAAGCTTTGTCGATTGCAACAACTTTTTCTTTGGACAAGAATCCACCGCTTGCCAGACGCTCAACGTGCGTCTTGCATCCAGCTGCAACTGCCCTGAGGCCCGCTGTCGTCGTGCTGCACGTAACTGACAGGACACGCGCATCTTCTCTAACAACGGGGGCAAGCATGCCAGCGGACTTCTCCACCAACGTATCGTTGAAAATGAGCTGATCACTGTTGTTGGGGTTGACCTGGATACACCGAGCACCAGCTGTCTCGCCCATGCTGAACCCTGCGCTTACGATGAAGTCAATCAAGTCGTGCACGTCACTGCCCTCCAGGCCAACTCCGTCTCTGTTCTGTGGGTGGACCAGCACGTGACGATTGTCCACCTGCTCGTAGAATGCCATCCCGTTGGTGACAAGTAGATCACATATGGCATCGGCTGCTGACTTCTTCTGGGTTTTCACCTCCGCCGATTCTGACACATTGTCAAAAGGAGCCATCATCTGAATGATTTGCGGACCAAGAGTTTTCATTGCCTCCTGCATGGAAGTTGACATCACGACCACAAAAAGACGCGTTGCTGGACGTAAATGAAGCAACCTGGAAACCAAGAGAGCCAAACACGGCTATGGAACGGAACTTGGGATATCAGGAATTGCCTATGCCCGCTCACATTCCCAGGGTCCAAACCCTGAAGTCCTTCCTCACGATCGGCGAAAACCGCCTCCTACGAATGGAAAGCTAACCTGGTTAGGGGGAGGTTAGGGGGAGGCTCGGAGGAGGACCTAACCTGGTTATCGGAGAGCCCTAAGTAGGTTAGTGGAGTGGCCCCAAGTAGGTTGGTAAGTTGGTGATCTACTTGTGCTCTGCTTGTGGGATCTGGGTGAACCCCTTGTGATCTGGTTGCTGGCGGGCGGCGGGCTTACTAAGGAGGAGAGGTGGTTCACTTCGGTTGTGATCTTCTTGGTGGTGATGATGAAGATAAGAGTGATGTTGTTGTTGTTATAAGTTCGGTTCAGTGGACGCTTCTGGAAGTTGTAACTCCAACAACCACTACACAAGGGGGGCGGTGATTCAAGTAGAGCCCCACCAAGCAATGTTCTAAAAACTTTTTGTGGTTCCCACGAAATGTTCTTAGAGCATTTCTGGCCGGGACTGTCTTTTTTGTTTTATCACATCGGGTTGATGTTCTATGAACATTGTTTTGTTCTTAGAACATTTTTGGGTTCTAAGAACATTTCGTGGTAGGACTATAGGAATGCCGGGACGGTCGGTCCCTGCTCAAGCGGGGCGGGCCCTCGTCCGGACGGCGTCCCCGGGGACCCAGGCTCCTCGCGTCGTGGAAAAGACACGACGGGAGGTTTTTCGCTAATCATGTTCGGCCCCTGGGGGCCCTGACCGGCCTCGGGACTTCGCGGGGAGGATGCTTCCTGGGTTGAGGAAGGGGTCGGCTCCGAGACCAACTCGTCGGGATCCGACTAGGGTGTTGGCCACAGCATGTTGATGGCAATGACAGGCCTCGGGGCCGTCAAAAACAACTCATGATGAGAAACGGGTCCTGGGGAATGGGTCGTGACCGGGGTCGACGTCATGACACAATCATGACGTCGGGGGTCTGAGGAGATGGATCGAAGAAGGAAAGCCCACAAACACTAACTTCTGGCGCTCCGCGGGACTTCTCTTGGATCCGCGCTGGCCCCCCCCCCCACACACCCACAGCGGCGCCTCCGGCGCCGCCAATGGCGCGCTCCCCGCGCGTCATGGGAGGGAGGCTCCAGCGCGGATCCGAGAGAAATCCACGCGGAGTGCCAACAGTTTGTGTGTTTATGGCGTTCTGTTCTGCTTCTGGTGGTGGGGTCGGCGGGCAGCCACGGGCGGTCTTGGCGCGCCCTGCTTCCCCGTTCCGGGGCCCTCCTCGCCCTGCTCCCCTCCTCGATCGGGGCCTCCGGGGGAGAGGGGGGTCGCGGCAGCCGTGGGCGGCTCGACGCCGCGCCCCACCCCCCCCGCCGCTCCCTCCTCGTCGCCCTGCTCCCCTCCGCCCTCCCCGGGCGGGGTTGCCCCGGCTGTTGGGAGGCCGAGGTGGATTCACGAGCTCGCCCGGCAGCACTCGCGAGGCACATGGGGCTCGAAACTGGTGCGAGAAAAGCCGCGGGGCACCTCGGAGGCAGGTGGCGGTGGTTGGGGGAACAGGAGATGACATAAACATAAAAACCCTGAGGTCCGCGCGGATTTCTCGGAACGACATTGGACCCCCCTCCCTGGCGCGCGGAGCGCGCCAGGGGCCGCGCCGGAGGCGCCGCTGGGGGGGGGCTCCAGCGCCGATCCGAGGAATCCGCGCGGACTGCCGAGTTATCACGTTTATGTTGGTGTTTGTGCCCCTGGTAGTGGCAGGCACTCGAGTGGCCCGGGGACCGTCGCGCAGCAGCGTGGTCTCCAAAGAGGAAGGCAAAGACGGGGGCACCTTGGGGGCACGTCGCAGGCGCCCGGGTCCGCAGGGGGCTGTTTCGTGGCCGCGTGTTCCTCGCGGGCCCGTCGCCCGGCGCCAACTGCAGCCAGCGTTGGCGCAGGGCGCGAGGCGCAGGCAGCGGCCGGGCGGCCCTGCCTCCGCCGCCGTCCAACACTCGAGCTTGTCTTCCCTCCTCCTCCTCCTCCTCCTCCTCCTCCTCCTCCTCCTCCTCAGGGCAGGTGGCTGGTAGATCCTACCTCTGGTCGGTGCTACCTCGTCGTCGTCATCGTGGTCGTCGTCGTCCTCGTCATCGTCCTCGTCCTCGTCCTCGTTCTCGTTCTCGTCGTCGTCGTCATCGTCGTCGTCGTAGTCCTTGTCGTCGTCGTCGACGTCGTCCTTGTCGTCGTCATCATCGTCCATCCTTGTCGTCATAATGGTTGTCCTCGCACTCGTCCTCGCCATCGTCGTCGTCGTCCTCGTCGTCGTCATCTTCCTTGGCCTCGTCATCGTCCTCGTCCTGGCCCTCGATCACGTTCTCTTGTCGTCATCGTCGTCCTTGTCGACGTCGTCGTCGTCGTCGTCGTCGTCGTCGTCGTCGTCGTGGTCGTCATCGTCGTCCTCGTCGTCGTCCTCGTCAGCTTGTCGTCCTCGTCGTCCTCCTCCTCGTCCTCGTCCTCGTCATCGTTCTCGTCGTCGATTGTCGTCGTCTTTCCTCATCGATATCGTCGTCATCGTCCTCGCCCTCGTTATCGTTCTCGTGCTCGACCTCGTCCTTTTCGTCTTCGACGTCCTTCCTTGTCGTCATCGTAGTCGTCCTCGTACTCGTCCTTGTCCTGATCCTCGTCATCGTCCTCGTATCCGTTGTCGTTGTCGTTGTCGTCGTCGTCGTCGTCCGTCCTCGTCATCTTCTTACTCGCCTTCGTCTTCGCCCTCGCCCTCGTCATCGTTTTCGTCGTCGTAGTCCTTGTCGTCGTCGTTGTCGTCGTAGTCGTCGTTCTCGTCCTCGCTCTCGTCCTAGACCTCGTCGTGGTCGTGATCGTGGTCGTCGTCATCGTCGTCGTCGTTTTTTCGTCATCGTCGTCGTCGTCCCAGTCGTCATTGTCGTCGTCGTCGTCGCCGTCGTTGTCGTCGTCGTCGTCGTCGTCGTCCTCCTGCTCGTTCTCGTCCTGGTCTTGGTCGTGGTCGTGGTCGTCGTGGACGTCGACATCGTGATCGTCGTTGTTGTCGTCCTTGTCGTCGTCGTCGTCGCCGTCGTCCTTGTCGTCGTCGTCGTCGCCGTTGTCGTTGTCGTCGTCGTCGTCCTCGCCCTCGTCCTTGTCCTTGTCGTGGTCGCCGTCCTTGTCGTCGTCGTCGTCGTCGTCGTCGTCGTCGTCGTCGTCGGCGTCGTCATCGCCGTCCTTGTCGTCTTCGTCGTCGTCGTCGTTGTGGCCGCTGCTGCGGCCGATGCGGCCCAGAGGGGCACCAGGCTCTCCCAGCAGGCGCCGCGCCTCCTCCCAGCGGCCCTGTGGGATGGGCCCGCCGCCGCCGCGATGGCGGAGTTCCTCGGCGCGGTCGTCGGCCCCGACGCGCAGCTGATCCCGAGGGCCCCCGCGGCCCCGGCCGACTTCCTCAGTGCCGCCGCGGGGGTGGAGCTCGCCCCCGGGGGGGCCCTCCCCGGGAGCGCGGGCGCCGAGCCGGGGCAGCAGAGGCGCCCCGGCCGCGCAGATCAAGGGGCCAGCCCTCCAGCAGGGGATCCCAGGAGGTGCGGGCCGGCGGGGGCTCCTACGGCGCGCGCGCCCTCGCGCGCTCGTGTTAACTCGCCCAAATATGTGGTGCACAGGGCCGTGCTCCCCAGACCCCCTCGAGTCATGAACAAAATCACGACGCGAGGTTTCTCGCCACTGTCGGCCCCCGGGAGCCCTCACCGGGCATCGCGCGGGACCGTCAAGAAACGGTATATGCGGAATGAGAACGACCGGTCCCGGGGAAAGGGTCCGGACATCTGGGGGTCGCGGCATGACAGAATCATGACGTCGGGGGTCTGGGTCTCACCCCTGTCACACGGCCATGGTCCCTTACTACGGTGCACACGGAGGTGCTCTCACCCACGTCACGCGTCAGAGTCCGCAGGAATACCTACAGGAATCATCTTGCTCACTAGCCGACCTCCCACTCCTCGACCCGCCTCTTCACCTTTGCTGCGATGGGGGTGCCCTTCTGGGGTCACTTGACGTACCTGGGGCCTTGTGAGAGCCCCAGGGGGCCGAAGACGCATGCCACAAATCAATGCCGTCGTGGCTTCTCCACAGCGCGGGGACGTCACCACGCCCAGAAGCCGCGCGACAGAGGCCACTCTTGCCTTGGGCCGCTCCTTGCGTGCACCCTGGGATCCGACCGTTGCGGGATAATGCCCTTCGTCGCGAGAATCCACGATCGGAGCCACAGGCCCAGTCTTTCTGCAGCCACCCTCGGGGCGGATCGGCCTCGGGTGGTCCGGGATCGAGTTCGGGCCCGAAGCCGGGCGACAGCGCCGGGTGCGAAAGAACTGCAGCGACCCGATCCCAGGGTGTAGCCGACAGGCGGCCGGGGCGGAGGCAGCAGCGCCCGCGCGCCAGCGGCGCCAGCTCGGCGCCGTCGGAGCCGACGCCCCAGGCCGAGGCATTCCAATCATGGGGGCCTCGCGTGTCCTCGCAGCTCCGGCTCCGATTCATCAGCGTGCGCTGGCGTCTGCCCATCGACGGGAACGCGTCGATGCAGCGCCGGCTAGCTTCGACGACAGCGTTGGGACTGTAGCGTCGATTGGCGTCGACTCGCAGGAGCCAGCAAGATGGTAATTATGGGAGGTTCCCCTGAGATCCGACGTTCCCCCAAAGATGCAACATCGCAAAAAGAGCGACCAGAGCCCCAGACCCCATCTTTCTGCGCCACGTCTCGAGCTGGAACGAGCCGTGAGGGTCCCGAGGCCCGAAGCGGAGCGAAAACGCCCGTTGCGAACAAAAATCCAACGCCAGTCGGGCGGGGCCAGGACGAGGATACATCCGTGCCAGAGCGTTCCGGAATGTTCCGGAACGCTCTGAGAAGGCCGCGGCGCCCGAGACATCGTCCAGAGCCGCCAGAGTTCAGAGATTCTGCAGCTATCCTCCCCCGATGTTATCCTCGTCCTGGCTTCGTCTTAGGAAACGTTTTCGGGAGAGTTGCGGTCGAGTCGCCTGGACAGGGTCTCGACATGGCTCTTCCAAAAGAGCCGTCCTCGGTCGCCTGGGAGGAGGCGAGGATGGCTGTCCGAATGTTCTGGAGCGGTTCGGCTATCCAGGGCAGTTCAGCTATCCAGGGCGTCCTGGCCATCTGTTCCAGGGCGTCCCGGAACGACCTCAGAGCGTTCCGCGGCGCCCGAGACATCCTCCAGAGCCGCCAGATCTCAGAGATTCTCGATTATTTCCTCCCCCGATTTGTTTTCCTTGCCCTGGCTCCGTCTTGGCCGCGGGAACATTCCTGGGAGAGTTGCGATCGAGTCGCCTGGAAAGGGTCTCGAGCGTGGCTCTGGCTGTTTTCCTCGCCCTGGCCCCGTCTTGGCCAGGCTCCTCGTCCCGCGCCTCGCGCGGATCGTCGTCGTCGTCGTCGTCGTCGTCGTCGTCGTCGTCGTCGTCGTCGTCGTCGTCGTCGTCGTCGTCGTCGTCGTCGTCGTCGTCGTCGTCGTCGTCGTCGTCGTCGTCGTCGTCGTCATCGTCATCGTCGTGCGTCGTCGGGCGTCGTCGTCGTGGTCGTCCTCGTCGTCGTCGTCGTCGTCGTCGTCGTCGTCGTCGTCGTCGTCGTCGTCGTCGTCCTCGTCGTCGTCGTGCGCCGTCGTCGTCGTCGTCGTCGTCGTCGTGTGGCTCCTCGTCCTCCGGAGCTGCCCCCGACGAGGCGCCGCCCTCCGCGCGCGGCCCCGCCCGCGCGGGCTCCGCGGGGGCGGCGCCGGCGCCGCGCGCCGCCGCGGAGCGGGGCGAGGCGGGGGCCCCCGGCGAGCTCCGCGAGGGCGCCGCGGCGGGGCAGGAGCGGCAGGGCGCGGGGGCGGAGCCCTCAAGTCTCGGGCCGGACGGAAGGGGGGGATTGGGAAAGGGGGGGTACGAAATTTGCAGCACGCAGCTGGTTGCGGCCCCACCGAGAGGCCCATTCCTCGATACATCGTCGCCTCCGGCGCCGGGAGGCGCCGGAAAAATCAGCTACGTGAGCTGATTCTCAACCCCCCCCTTTGCTATCCCCCCCTTTCGCCCGACCCGACAGGAGCGGCAGGGCGCGGGGGCCGCGGAGCCCGTAAGTCGGGCCTGTCCCCCTACAGGGGGAGTTTCGACGAAACATAAAAGATACCCCAAAAATGATCAAACAATAGTCCAAGAATAGTCTGGGGACTGTTTTTGGCATATTTCTTCACCTTTTTGGGGCATTTGGGGGGACTGTCGACGAAACATAAAACATACCCCAAACAAAGATAATCAAACAATAGTTCAAAAATAGTCTGGGGACTGTTTTTTTGACTATTTTTGACCTTTTCGGGGAATTTTCTTTATTTTTTAATTTTTCGTCGAAAATCCTCCTGTACGGGGGCACGCCCGACATAACGGACCCCCCCCCCGCTCGGGAGTGATGCCAGAGGTGCCCCCCTGGTCCAACCCAGGAGTTTAAAATTTTCGCCCAAAAGCCTCCTGTAGGAGGACATGCCCCTGGTCCAATCACTTCTAATTACTGGCAACACCCGACCCGCGGGAGGGTGTTGCTAGAGTGCCCCTGGTCCAAGGTGCCCCGAGCTTTCCCAGACAGGATCGCGTCGTGAACAAAAAAAATATCAGGGCGGGGGGGGTTTTGGCCAGTTTCGGCCCGGGGGAGCCCTGGTGGCCGGGCCTCGCGGACCGACGCAGGATGAAAAACCGGTTCTGGGGGAAGGGTCGGCACTTCCAGGGACCCCGTATTGACAAAATCTGGACGTCGCATGTCTGGGTTTCGCTCCCATTTGGAGCGCCTGGGGCGCTCTGGGCCTCGTGAGGGGTGCTCGGGAGGCCGTCTGGGCCATCCCGAGCGTCCGGGGGGGCCTTGGGCCAGGGGCACTTCTAGCAACACCCGACCCGCGGGAGGGTGGGCGGCGGCTTCCCTCCGATCCCCACCGGAATCACCGCGGTGACTGTGAGAGAAGGAGGGCCATAGGACCCTGGCTTTGCTTTTTTTTCACCACGGGCGTTTTCAATTTCGGGCTCCAGGACCCTCACATCTCAATCGGGCTCGAAAAGTGACGCAGAAGTATGAGGTCCGGGGCCTTCTTCGCGATTGTTTGCGATGTTGTATCCTTTTGCCACGTCGAATATCAGGGAAGATGCTATACCGCTAGTCTTCCCTGGTTTTCCACTTTGGGGGCCTCCTGGGAGGCCCTCGTCGCCACCGCTGGCTTCGCCCGGAAATTTTGGTCAGAACGCATCCCAGGACCCCCACAAGAGGTCTGGGGAGCAACAGGAAGAGAAACATCACGCAGACACGATGAATCCTCGACTCCCAGGAAAATACTGGAAGATATGGGACGTGGGGGGGGGGAGTGCGAAACTAGAAAAATGTATACGAACATATGAAGAGAACCCTGGGATTTGCGTGTCCATCTATTTGTGTGTGCTCCTGGGCCCCTCTAGGGTAGCGCCAGCGGAACCTCTGGGCTTCCCCAGAGAATCCCCGCGGTGATGGCAGGGCGTCGGGCCCGCGGACCCTCGCGCGGGCGGGGGCGGCGGCGGGGCCCACGACCCGGCCTGCCCGATCCTGTTTTCACTGCCGATTCTGGCCGGCTCGCTCCGATCCGGGTGCGGCTGTCCCAGACGCTGGACGCCCGAGATGGGTACGGAAAGAACGGGTACGATGCCCAACGGCAGTTCCTGTTCATTCTGAACAGGATTACTGGTCGGTGCCGCCGCGGCCTGTGTCCGTTCGAGACAGGAGGCCGCCTGCCCAACAGCGGCCGCTGTTGGCTTGGGGCAACATTTCTTGTTGGGCATTGTACCCACTCTTTCCGTGCCCATTTCGGGCGTCCAAACAAACCCCCTCGAGCCGCGAAAACATCACGACGCGGGACGTTTCTCGCCAATTTCGGCCTCTGGGAACCCTGATACCGGCCCCCATGGGAGCGTCGGAGAACGACTCGGGATAGCATTTCGACCCTGGCCGTGCCGACTCGGGTGCGCTGCATCCGCTGCGGCGGCATCGCTGCCGACGCCGCCATTGAACGTGTGCCCAGGCCGGCGGCAGCGTCTGCCGGCGCAGTGCCGGGCGGCGCTGCTGCTGGGTGAATTGCTTTGCGCCAGGGGCAGCGCGGCGGCGTCTGCACGCCTAGATAGCCGCGCAGCGCACCGGGCAGCTCCCGATAAGGTCCCGGGCTGAGCCTTTCAGCGTTCGTGCTGTGGCCGATGCGACTCGATTCCGACTTCCCTAGCATCCGACGGCGCGAAAAAGTTGAGACATCGCGGAAGGTCACACCTCCAGAGGCCTAGACCCCATCGCTCTGCGTCCTTTCTCGAGCTGGATCGATACGTGAGGGTACTGGTGCCCGAAAGCACACGACAACGACCGGCTCGAACAAAATGAGACGCCAGGATATCAGGCTCCGTGCCGATCTGGAGTGCATTCCTGCTCGAGCCGGTTCCCGCTTCGAGGCTCGGCGGCGACGGCGACGAGACGGCATCCGTGGCCGGCGGCGGCTGCGGGCCAGGACAGCAAGCAGGGCGTCGGGGCCGCCGGGCTCCGCAGGGAGGAGCGCCAGTTCATCCGGCTGCAGGCGATACTCACCGTGCTGCCCCAGCACCTGCTCGGCTGGACGGGGTCGAGCCCAGGCTCGGAGGACTCTCCCTGAGGGCTCGACGACTTTTCTTCGCCAATCGACCTGTGGGGATCGGGCCAGATCAACATCTAGGCAGATGCAGATGCATCGAAGTGCACCCAGGTTAACTTCAAGCACATCCAGGGAAATCCAGGTAGGTCCAGAGATCTCGAGGGAAGCTCGGAGCACATCGCAACCTCTCTCTGGCGCGAGTCGAGGAGGGGCGTCCGAAGTCGTCAAGCCCTTCACCACGAAGGACGGGCGAGGCGACGAGCGGACCCACGCGGACCTGGTGGAGGCCGCCCTGGTGAGGTCCTGCCTGGACTACCCGCGGTACGCGGGGAAGCTGGGGCGGCTGGCCGTCGCGCACGCGAGCCAGGACATGGCCGTGCTCGTGGACCACGAGGACGCCCCTCGAGTCAGGAAGAAACCGCGACGGGAGGTTTTTCGCTGGTTTCGGCCTCAGGGGGCCCTCACAGGGCCTCTGGGCCGTCAAAAAACGGCTCGGGGTGGAAAAACAGGTCCAGACCTCTGGGGGTTCGCGTCGACCTGAAAGAATCGTGACGTCGGGGGGTCCGGGGAGGACGCCCAGCTCTTCGCGTGCGTCCGGGGGACGAGCCCCTTCGTGCCCCGCGACCTGAGCGACGATGCCCGCGTCATCATGGGCCTCCCCCCCGCGCGCGTGGCCGATGCCAAGGCTGCATACCGGGCCGTGCGCAAGCAGTTCCCCGGCTACAGGTCTTATGGCTGCGGGCACTCGCTGGGCGGGTCCGTCATGCACGAGCTGGCCTACGTGTTCGAGAAGAGCCCGCGGTATCGCTTCACCCGCGTGGACGTGTTCAACGCGGGAGGCTCCCCGCTGCAGCGCAGGAACGCAGCGCTGAAACACACAGTGTTCCTGTCGCACAGAGTGACGGGAGACCTGGTGTCCTACTTCTACGACCCTCCTGGAGGGGGCACGATTGAGCACAAGGAGCGCCCCCAGTTCGGCGGAGCCCACTGGATGGGCCACTTCCTCCCTCGCCGCCGTGTCGTCGCAGCCCAGGACGCATGACGCGGGTGATACCCCGCCCGGGCACAGCCTCGCAAAAAAAAGCTTCAGATCTCCAAGCGTCGCAGAAAAAAGCATCACGAATGGGGCGCTTCTCACCGAACTCGGCTCGTCGGGGCCGGCCTCGATTCGGGGGACCGCTGAAAAAGTGGCCCGCTGCGGAACAGTCCAGTCCCAGGGATGTGGGGCCAAGAGATTTTGAGGCCCGCGTTCGCGCGTTGGCAGTGGTGGCCCTTGCCCCAGGTGGCCCAAGCTTTCCCAGGGAGGCCCAGATGGTATTCAAAGCACCCCTCGTGAGGCCCAGGGGGCTCCCAGATGACGAGCAGAGCTCGGAGTACCGCAAATGCCAGGACAACTTCTAGTAGCCTTTAGCACGCGACCAGTGACAAACGTCGTGTCGTTTGAGGTCTGGGGCTACCTCTGCCGCCCATGCCCGGCGTCGGGCAAGAGTGTCTGCCCAAATGGGGGTGTGCCACTCTTTTGGAGGGTCAAAATTGGTACGGAAAAAACAAGTACAACTTCCAACACCAGTCTTTTTTATTTCCAGCCAGGCTCGCTGTCGGAGTCGCCGCGGTCGTTTTTCAAGTGAGACGCAGACTCGCCTGCCAAACGGCGGCCGCTGTCGGTGTTGGGCCTCGTTTGCTGTCGGTCGTCGCACAGTGTTTGACCTACCTTCTTGGGGCATCCACAACTGACAAGGGGAGGGCAACGAGCGCCCAACTCCGCAGGGCGCGCTTGCCGAGCTCTCTTTTGTTCTTCCTCGACGGCACTCGTGCAAGGCTTCATGGTGGCATGTCGAACTCCTTGCCCGTGAGACAACCTGGAAGACGGATGCGGTCGGACCGAGGTACAAGATCGAGGTCGGTTCGGGGAGGCTATCCTACTATTCTTTGTGTTTGTTGGATGTTATTGTGCAGCCTGGTGAGGGTACCCTGTGTGTGTGTGTGCGTTTTGGCCGGCGGAGGGTCTCATGTTCTTGAAGGATGTTCTTCTGTCCTAAGTCCGACCGTACATATTACGTTGCTGGCCTGTGCGAGAGTTGGATGCACAAGAGACCTTTTTGTATCCCTCGGCGGTCACGGGCGAGACTGGGGGGGCGGAGGGGGCGGCTGGTCACGTCACGATCAACGGCGGCGCGGTTTGGGAATGCTCACTTAGGGGCTGCTGATTCCCAGACGGCGCAGGTGCGAATCGTGTTACTTGGCCGCCTGAGGCCCCGCCCTCCTGTGCCCCGTCTCCCTAATTGAAGCTGGGCGTAGCCCGCCCAGCTTTTAGCGGAAGAGGTTCGCTCTCGCCCCGCCGACCAAAAAGTGCGGATCGTGACGTGACCAGGCGGGGGGGGGCCACTCGCGGGCGTGCTCGCGAATGGTTGACAACCACGGCATCCAGGCGGCCAGGTGCCTTTCCGCAAAGCTCGGGCCTCCGGGGGGAGGGGCCACTCGCGGGCGTGCTCGCGAATGGTTAACAACAACGGGATCCTATGGCGGCTAGGTACCTTTCCGAAAAGCTAAGGCCTCCTGTGGCCGGGCACGCCCGGCCCACGCACGCGCGTGCCCCGCGCGCGCGGCCTCCGCACGTGCCCCGCACGTGTGGGTCCGGCCACGCGTGCCTCCTCGGGCAGGGCTGGGACGAGGACAAACCATTCGGGGGTGGGCAGAACCCCCAACAGTGACACGTCGATTAGTGAATTGTCCGTTTTCGGTCGGTTCTCGCGAGGGCGCCGTGGCCGTTATTTTCCAGGCTTGCGCCCACCAGGTTTGGGCCGCAGGTCGTTTTCACTAAACCACGTTTTACTACTAAAGGGAGGTCTGTCCATCCCCGAACATTAGATCCGTGCCAGAGCGCTCCGGAGCGCCCTCCGAACGCTCCGGAACGCCGCGGAGAGGGCCGCGTCCCGAGACATCCTTCAGAGCCGCCAGATCATCTCGGAGGTAGCCTCGATTTGTCCGTCCGGTGTTACCCTCGTCCTAGCTTCGTCCTGCACGAGCGCGCCTCCAGCTTCCTGCTGCGCCGTGCCTCGGCCTCGTCGCGGGGGGGAGACACGCAGGAGCTCCACCGCCCGTGCGGGAGGCACGAGGGCGTCGTCGGGCAGCGAGGGCCGGCACGGGGCGCGTGCAGGGTCCCGTGGCATCGATCTGCCCGTTCCCCGACGCGCTCAGTGCGGAGCGCTCCAGGCGAGCTCGCCGTGCGAGGGGTGCCCGCTGGGCGGTCGGGCCCTGGAGAAGTATTTTTTCGGGGCTGGACAGAAACCCCACCAGTGACACGTCGATTAGTGAATTGTCCGTCTTCGGTTCTCGGGAGGGCGCCCTGGCCGTCATTTTCCAGGCTTGCGCCCGCCAGGTTTGGGCCTCAGGTCGTTTTCACTAAACCACGTTTTGCTAAAGGGGGGTCTGTCCATCCCCGATATTTGCCCTGTCGGAAGGAGGGTCGCTGTGTGGCTTCGGACGTGGGCGTTGAACGAGGAATTCCCGCCAGCGTGCCAGAAACCAGGGCAGTCCTCATCGGAGACGGCTTGGGCGCATCACCGCCGGAATATTTGGCCAAGCGCTGCGCCAAAGCCGGGCCAAGATATTGGACTGTGTGTCCCCCCAGCCGTTGTCGACCTCGTTGGGGGAAAACCTTGGTGGAGGAGAAAAAGAAAGAGGGAGAGGGAGGAGGAGGAGGAGGAGGAGGAGAAGGAGGAGGAGGAGGCCTCCCGGGGACCCCTCGTGGGCCTGGAGGCCGTCTCGGGGCCCCGTAGGCTTCCCCTCATGATTCCCCTCCCTTGGGAGCCCAGCAGTGGCCATAGGGGTCCCTGAAAGCCAGAACGGCAGGGCTGTTTTTTTGTGGTGTTTGGGTTATGTTTTTGTCACTCGATTCCCAGTTCCGCCGCAATCTGTCATGCCTGTCCGATTCCTGTTCGGATTCCGGGGGCTTTGTGTTGTCAGTGTTGGTGGGTTTGTTGCGTCCCGCTTCTATTTTCAGGGGCAGGAATGTTGAAATCGTGAACTCGCGCCCTGCCGTTATCCAGGTCCTGCTACAATAGGGGGCCGACTTCGGCACCTCGTGGAGGTGTCGCAGGGGGCCCTGGTGGGGCTCGCTCGGGGGCCTCTTTGGAAGACTCGGACGGTTTTGTTTTCGTTCAATATAGAAAATCGAAGCAACAAGCAACTGCATAAGCATAAGCTATCGGCGCTCCGCGCGGATGTCTTGGATCGGAGCTGGGGCCTCCCTGGCGGCGCCTGTGGCGCCAGGGAAAGGGGTGCAGCGCCGATCTACGAAATCCACGCGGAGCTTCGAAGGCTTATGTTTATGTAGCTGTTTTATCCTGTAGAGAAGCCCAGATGCGAAACTCATGCAACAATACCGTCAATGATGCGTGGCTGGCCCCCAGAGCCTCCACACGATCCAAGAGCCCCCTAACAAAAGCCCGCAGGGCATGCCCCTTGGGCCATCTTCCAATACATGGGGTTCCAAACCGCGCGCCCGTGGCCCCTGGGGAAGTCAGGCAATAATCTCCAAGAGCGCCCAACAAGTGGCACGTGTGCCATGGCTCTTGCATTAAGATGAAGGGAGAGGAGGAGGAGGAGGAGGAGGAGGAGGAGGAGGAGGAGGAGGAGGAGGAGGAGGAGGAGGAGGAGGTGGAGGAGGAGGGGGGAAGAGGGGGCAAGGCATCGCCCTCTGGGCCCAGCAACGGGGCCCGAGTCCCAGGTGGGGATGGTGGGGGAGGCGGCGTGCGTCGCGACGCGGAATAAAGTGCTCGGAGCGGAGGGCACGGGCGAGGTCCCACTGGGGCGCTGGGGGCGCGAAGAGGAGGGGGGGAGGTGGTGTGCGTCGCGACGCGGAATAAATCGTCGGGCGGGGGGGCACTGGGCGGGGCTTGGGGCAGAGGGCCACGGGGCGGGGGTCCAACTGGGGCGCTGGGGGGGGGGGGGGAGGTGGTGTGCGTCGCGACGCGGAATAAAATTGTCGGGGCCGAGGGGACACGGGGCTGAGCCCCCACTGGGGCGTTGGGGACGCGGGGAGGGAGGTGGGGGAGGTGGTGTGCGTCGCGACGCGGAATAAAGCGTTCGTGGCAGAGGGGGCAGTGGGCGGGGCTGGGAACGCGGGGGGGGGGGTGCGACGCGGAAGAAAGAGTTCGTGGCGGAGGGGGCAGTGGGCGGGGTTCCCGCTGGGGCGCTGGGGACGCGGGGGCGCTCGGGGCAGAGAGCCACGGCGCGGGGGTCCCACTCTGGCGCTGGGGACGCGGGGGTGGGGGTGCGACGCGGAATAAAGCGTTCGTGGCGGAGGGGGCAGTGGGCGGGGCTCCCGCTGGGGCGCTGGGGACGCGGGGGGGCTCGGGGCAGAGAGCCACGGCGCGTGGGTCCCACTTTGGCGCTGGGGACGCGGGGGCGGGGGTGGGGGGGGGGTGCGACGCGGAATAAAGTGGTCGGAGCTCTAGACACCTTGTGCAAGAGAATAATTCCAGAAACTGAGGGTCTGGGGCTTTCAAGCATGATTTAAATCTGTAGCCGTCAGATTCGACTCGACGGGACCTGAAGACACTACGCTCAGAGCTTGGCGGCACGGTGGCAGATCATCACTCGCATCCCAGACTTGGCTTGTCCAATTCTAACTCTGCGAGCAGGTTGAATTGTTCCAAGTTTATATACAGATGTCGTGCCGTACGAATGTGCGATGTCTGTCTTAACTCATCCACATCGCCTACCTCTGAATAGTGACAACTCTTCGTAACACCTTTCCTCGCTGTCAAGCCACGTTGCAACCATGGAACAACCTCGCGGGCCGCACAGGACGACCACGTGAGAGCATGACAAGCATGGGTCAATCAACCGCGCGACACGTTCACACACATGACCAGGACATGACGGTCACAGAGCAGCCGCACGGGACCACCCCCGGACAGACCCCTGGGGCAGCGGGCCGGCCAGGCCGTGGGAGCCATTCTGGCTGTCTCGGCTCGGAGGAGGGCAGGATCCATGCCGCCCCTTCGCCGCAGCTCTGCTTCGCCGGCACGCGCGACACGCGAGCCGGCGCCGACCTGTTCGCTCTCCAACGCAGGCGTGGGGGCACAACTCCGCTCCATGAGGT